CAAACTATCCATCCCACTTTGTTTGATTTAAACGTTGACCTGTGGGGTCCCGCAAGGCTCCATTCTGTCTCCCATGCTGTTTAACATCTACATGAAATCGCTGGGAGAGGTCATCCGGAGTTTTGGAGTTGGGTGCCATCTCTATGCAGATGACACACAACTCTACAACTCTTTTCCACCGAATTCCAAGCAAGCCCCTCGAGTGCTAGACGAGTGCCTGACCGCTGTGGCTGTCTGGATGAGGAGGAACAAGCTGAAGATTAATCCCGACAAGACAGAGGTCCTCCTGGTCGATCGTAAACCGGACCGGGGTATATGGTGGCAACCTGTGCTGGACAGGGTTGTACTCCCCCTGAAATCACAGGTCTGCAGTTTGGGGGTCCTCCTGGATTCTTCACTTACGTTTGAGGCTCAGGCGTCAGTGGTGGCCGGGAGGGCCTTTGCACAATTAAGACTCATATGCCAACTGCGACAATACCTTGGGAAGGGGGATCTGGCCGTGGTGGCCCATGCCTTAGTCACCTCTAGACTGGATTGCTGTAATGCACTCTACGTGGGGCTACCCTTGAAAACGGCCCAGAAAATTCAGATGATCCAACGGACGGCAGCCAGGTTGTTAACTGGGGCTCCTTACAGGGAGCAGTCATCCCTCCTGTTCAAGGAGCTCCACTGGCTGCCATTCATTTATCGGACCCAATTCAAGGTGCAGGTTCTTACCTACAAAGCCCTGAACGGTTTGGGACCCGCCTACCTGCGTGACCGCATCTCTGTATATGAAACCACACGATCTCTTCGTTCATCTGGAGAGGCCCTGCTCTCGATCCCACCAGCATTGCAGGTGCGATTGGTGGGGACAAGAGAGCCTTTTCGGTGGTGACCCCTCGACTCTGGAACTCACTCCCTAAGGACATCAGGCAGGCCCCTACCCTGGCAGTTTTCAGAGGAGCTTGAAGACGTGGTTGTTCCAGTGTGCCTTCCCGGATTAACGACCCCATAGCACTTTGTCCCTCTAAGCACTTAACATTTTTTAGCCAGGATTTTGATTGGGGGGGGGGGGGTTATGTCTGCTCGTATGTCTGTCCACAAACGCTACTATCACCTTTCATCCATGTTCAGCACTATTTCCAATTTTAATTTTACATTTGGCCTTCTCACTGTTTTTAATTGTATGTTGTCTTATTGATAATTTTATATGTTTACTGTTTATGTTATTATTTTAATTATTTGTATTGTTGTGATTATTGCTTGTATTGTTGTGTTTGGGCTCGGCCTCATGTAAGCCGCACCAAGTCCCTTGGGGAGATGGTAGCGGGGTACAAATAACGTGTTGTTGTTGTTATTATAATTATAATTATTATTATTAAACTTTATTAAACCAGGTATAATGATTATGCTACCTTCCAGATGTTACTGTATGCAACTTTCACCAGTCTTACCCAGCAGAGTTAAAGAATCCAGGAAAATCCAACAATGTGTGAAGAGCTACATGATTGCCACCCATTTTAACCCAAATAAATAAAATACACCTTTTTATATACAGCAACATGAAGTCAGCCACAGCCTATTCCTGCAAATATATCAAAGAATAGTACATGAAGTTCAGTTGCTTAGCAGTAGGTTATATTGTTACAAACTGATGGGACAACTTGTAAACAAAGATTTTAATCATCTCAAACAATAGCTTTGGGATGTTTAGCCAGTCTGGGTTATCTAAAAGCTCTCTGTCTCCCTCGATGACAAGGATCCTTGTCTAGTCGGAAACTGAATTATTATTTTTTCCCCTCCATGTTTCTTCAGAAGCTCCTGCAGGAATCTCTGGCTCCTGTTTGTCTTCCTGCCACATGTTACAATGAAGTAATGGAAAACAGGATTCTCATATGGCTAGAAGGTGGTGCTTCTGGAGACACACACTGCATTAAAGCCACAATATTTTCTAGCCTTTTATCGTATCAATATCTGAAGATTAAACTAAAGCTACAGGATGCCTCCATAATACTGTTGCCAGGACAGATTTGTTTTAAATCACTGTAGTATTAGTGTCCTAACACTATGAAGCCAGTGCTTGAAAACTTGAATTGCATTTACTTTCCTCAGCTCCCAAGTATTTGAAATATTTCTGCTATAACTGTTTTCTTATCTTAGCAAACTTTGCCAAGTGAGAAGGTCATCTGCAGAACTTGTAGATATGGTGTGACTTCTTTGGAATGCAGAAAAACTGAAGAATTTAACACGGGATGCAAAATTCAGCTGGAATGGCATCTGTATGCCATGCTTACCTGCACTCCACTAGGGCAAGCATGCTTTCTAGATACCTTGGTTTAATAATCTCATGACATTGTCACATCAACATGGGAGTGCACCAAAACACGTGCAGCCAGAATCTGGCACAGGGAAATCATTTCCGGTACTATCCCTGTGGTGACTGTAAGCAGACTTCATGTCAAATAGAGAAGGTGATAAGTCAGTCAATAAAAAGATTTCATCTTCCCCCAGAAACTAACTTAATAAATTGAGAGCACAATTAAATGCTTGTGAGAAACCAAATCATGAATGTATCTGCTGAGTATGCTGGTTTGCAACACTTTGCCCAAAATGTGCCTATTTCAACTATTATTCCATGGCTCGTATTCCTGGCAACATTATATGGAAACAGAATACTGTAGGTAGATGACATATTGGACAAAGACATATATTTTTCCTACACTCTAGCCTTATTGCCAAACTAACAAGTTCTGGCTGTTCCGCTCTCTTTGCTGGAGGTTAAGCTATGAGGGTTGAATGAAAAGTAATGCCTCCACCTTTGTTACTTGGGTTTGGATGGGAATATTTTAATAAATCAAATGCAGAAATAATCCTTAGAATGTGCTCTTTAACTACCACTATTCACTTTTCCATATAATCACCAGACAATTGGATACATTTCTGTCAACAATGAACAAGTTTTCTGAAGCCGTCACGGAAGAAGTTGACACTCTGCTTTGGATCACTTTTTGCCTCAATCCTTTTCCTTTGGAAATTTAAATTGTCTTAGTTAAATATAATTCAATCTTTTAAAAAAAATATTTCGCCAGGGAAGTGAGGGTGGGCATGTGTTTGGGGGTACTGTGAAAGAGCATCTTGTGGGGTGTTTAAATATTGGGGTGGTTTAGTGAAGGGAGGCGACAGCCTGACTCCCTTGAGCCCTTGGAAGTTGTTCGTTGTTCAATGTTCACCTCTTTGTATTTTTCTTGTGGCTTCTCTGTGTGTGCTCCTTCTCCCACACAAGAAGCCTGAGCCTAAATCCACCCAATATAATATAATATAAGTATATATTATACGTAACAAATATATACATACTATATATATATATATATATATATATATACACACACACACACACACACACACACACAAACCTACACATATATGCATACATATATATACACACAGAGAGAAAGAGACAGGCGGGAGTTTAGTCATGGGGCGAGTGTAGTCATGACCAGGCTTTTAGGGGAGCAAAAGCCAGAGGGAGAGGGAGAGGTATTACTGAATCTCAATCAGATACTCCCATGGGATGCTGTTTTGCGTTTTTTTTAAAGAGATTTTATTTCTAGAAATTTTAAGAATTTCCTAAAAATCAGTGGATAACCCAAACATTCTGAAACTTGGTGGGCTTCCAGTGGTAAGTGTGTCCTCCAAGTGTGGCCATTTTCATCCCTATAGCCCGAAAAATGACAGAAAGGGGAGGCTGGGAAATTCCCCCATTGCTGCCATTGGGTTGGATCTTTCCGGAGCAAAAACTGATTTCCAGGTTGCTGAATCCAAAAACAGTATTTTGCCCTCCCGAATTTGGGCAGTTCCCCCCCCCCCCAAAAAACCAGAATGGCGTTTACTCGATATCGACACCCATACTAAATATCACTCATCCAAAATGCTTGGGACCAGGGTGTTTGAGGTTTCTACTTTCTTCAGAATGTCTGTATTTCCTGGAGATGGGGTCTATATCTAAATTCATTTATCTTTTATATATACCTTATATACTTAGCCTGAGAGTAATTTTATACCATAGTTTTAATGGTTTTGTGCATGAAACAAAGTATGTGCATATTGAACCATCAGAAAGCAAAGGTGTCACTATCTTAGCCACCCATTTCAGATTTTGGGGGTATTTCGGATTTTGATATTCTGGATGTGGGATACTCAACTTTACTACAGACTTCAAGAATTCCCTAGTTAAAAATTCCATCCTCTATGGGCTTCAGTATAAAAATAGGGCCCTGTAGAAGAACTTTTGTGTTTCACCTATTCAAAACCATAAAAAACGCATTTTCTTAGGATATGCGGAAGAAGCATTTCTTTGTCAAAATAGCAGGAAAATTCACTATATACGAGGGGTATTTTTTAAGTAAGGTCCATTTTGTTGTAGACACTAGTAGTTTGTGCGCATACTGCAACGAGCGCGTGCGTCGTGTACCAGCATGCCTCGGGAACAACTGTGCTCAGTTTCCGCTCTGTAGTTAACCTGTACGGTTTTGTTCTGTGCTTTAAAAATGTTTAAGACTATCAACTCACCCGCCAATGAATTTCTGCAGCAGGCAGGTTCCTTGCTGACAAAAACCGTATCACTGAGCGAACCTCACATGCGGCGGGCGAGTTGTAAAGTACAGAACAGAACCGTACAGGTTAACTACAGAGTGGAAACTGAGCACAGTTGTTCCCGAGGCATGCCGGTACACGACACATGTGCTCGTTGCGGTATGCGTGCGAACTACTAGTGTCTACAACAAAACGGACCTTACTTAAAAATACCCCTTGTATAATGGCACACTCCACTGTAGGAGTAGAAGTTGTTCCCTCTGCGAGCTTTATACGATACAACCCCAATCATAAGTACATAGTGGAAAATACAGTAAACCTTTTCTCATCATATTGGTATCATATAAATGACTGTTGAGAAGATGAGATATTGATCTCCTTACCAAAATCACACTACTTCTTGAAAGTAATACAACATACAAAGATTTGCCAAAATAAAAATGGGAATATTTATTTTTCTACTAAAAGCAATAAACTTTTAAGCTTCTTCAATGGTCTTTGTAAATGATTCTACTATTCCATTATTTTGTTTACTTCCAACTCTGTAGAAAATTTAGACACAACTCCATATAAACAAGAACACAGGGCAAGCCACTGAAAGACTCAGAGACCAAGACAGCTAGCGGTGACAAGCAAAGATGGCTCAACTTATTTGTAAAAATAAGTCAACCTTTCTTCACATAACTATATACCCAGGATTCACTGTGAGACAAGATATTTAAATATGTTCATTACAGTAAAAAGTTCTACACCAGTTGCACAAATTCGGGTCTATACACATTTCAGCAGCATTTCCTGATTAAATATGAAGAATCAGTCACATGTCCTGTTGAGTACTGGAATTTGACAGAGACTCTAAAAACCATTATCAAGAGGCAGTTACATGCACATGATGCAGGGGAGAAAGGGAAGATTCATAGACCCCGTGCAAATGGGACAGGACAAACTGTTACAAATTGGCAAACATGCGTTGGACGAATTTAAACTTTACAAGGTATCTTGCTGGGTTACTTTCATGAAGACAAAGATATTCAGCATCCCCACCGTTCCAAACAAAAAGAACACACAAAAAGAAAAAAAGACATCTATCTTCATTTGGCCTCTTGAGTTTTCTTGGCATTCTGTTTTTCTTTTGCCTAGAGTGTAAAGAAATAAAGATAAGCATGCATTGTTGCAGTTTTTTTTTAAGCCAACAATTTTCTTTCGACTAAAACCCAAGTTACAGGCTAGCTGTTTCTTAACACAGAGGCACTATATTCCAAAAAATCTACCAAATACCCTTATATGCAGTTAAACATTAATTTAAAATATCTGTGAACCATTTTGACCATTACACTGACCAACACACATTTTGGTGCCTGAAATGTTAAGACCTGTTTCTGGGTATATCTGACTTGCTGTTTCCAAAAATGGCACCAGTTTTCCCCCATCAGCTCTAGTTTTGAGATATATGCCATATACACAAACACCGTCTGCTCATGCACAGAAAACCAAGACAACCATATCTAAGAAATTAGAGCTGATGCAGCCTATACAATGCAACTTTTTGAATCAGCACCCAAAAAACCCCCCAAAACAGATCTAAAAACCAAGATACTAAGAACTTTTTTGGGTTGGGCTGTGTTATTGAACAATAGGCTGTAACCTATTGTTATTGAACAATAGGCTGTAACCAGACTTGAATGGTGTCTGTTATGACATGGATGGAATCCAGATAAATAAGGAAATGGCCTGAATGTCATTCTAACTGAAACGCCAGTATTTTGCCTCTCCAAGAATCACAGTCTTTTGGATGCCTTCTTCCTCAGCATTTGCATGAAGCACAGCATGCATTTGAAATGTGCTGAAAATACCGGGGGAGGGGGTAGATGGACAGGGAACACGGAGACAGGACCTACATTCAGGAAATACATCTTTCTATGCTGTCTGTTTCCTTGTCTGCAGGATGTGACCCTTTGTCTAGTTACAATACAATACTTTGTAGATGGTCAGGCTTTATAATAAAAAGGGTGCCACCAATAACAATGGCTTTATAATTATAGCATCTATGAGCTCTTGCATAGTGAAGAAATTAAAATCAAAACAAAGAACTTGAAACTACAAGAACTATAATGCAACCATTGTGTTTTGATTTGATACTCTAATAAAGGTTTTTGCCATGCCTTGCTGCGGCTGGGGTCAGCTAAGATTGTGTCAAAGACCAGTCAGGCCGGTCACAATAGAAAACAATGAGAAATGCTGCTTTGAATATTTCAAACTTCTGATGGGTAGCCCCATTTCAAACTATGTATACTACTCTCCACGAAGATCCGCATAGTTAAAGCAATGGTATTCCCCATAGTAACCTACGGATGTGAGAGCTGGACCATAGGGAAGGCTGAGCGAAGGAAGATAGATGCCTTTGAACTGTGGTGTTTGTGGAAAGTTCTGAGAGTGCCTTGGACCGCGAAAAGATCCAACCAGTCCATACTTCAGGAAACAAGGCCTGACTACTCATTGGAGGGAAGGATAGTAGAGGCAAAGATGAAGTACTTTGGCCACATCATGAGAAGAAAAGAAAGCTTAGAGAAAACAATTATGCTGGGAAAAATGGAAGGAAAAAGGAAGAGGGGCCGACCAAGGGCAAGATGGATGGATGGTATTCTTGAAGTGAGTGGATTGACATTGAAGGAGCTGGGGGTGGTGATGGCCGACAGGGAGCTCTGGCGTGGGCTGGTCCATGACGTCACGAAGAGTCGGAAACGACTGAACAAATGAACAACAACAACATACTACTCTCCATAGAGAGGACTGTGGACTGTGGCATGACATTCTGCAATACTTGCTGAATTGAACACTATTTGTGTCTTAATATTTGCACTAAAATGTGCGATGCAAGTCCAGAAAGTTATTTTTGTTCTTTACAATATGTTCTGTCTACTTGATCTTTATGAAACAAATTGCATTTTTGTACAATTGCAAATTGTATTCCCTTGATTGAAGTAGCTATCAACACTTTTATACCTATAACCTGAGGGTATCTGAGAGGAAACTGAGATTCCTCGCCTACTGGATACAAGTTTATCATCTAAAATTTGCATTCAGATTTCTTGTTTTCTGATAGAACTGAATACTACAAGCAATGATACAGATCTAACCAGGACACAAAATGGAGGATAGTTTCCTTAGCTAATGAAATAATCAACACACCTGACATAACAGATACATGTTTTAAGGCTTCATTTTGAGTTATCTGGATTAATAATGGAGTGATAGTACTTGTTCAAATAAACTTGAACTAATACCTTTAAAAAAGAATAAATGCATTTTACATTTACAGAAACCATCCAGAGGCATTTATGTTGACAACCAGATTGAATGTGGCACAATTTTCATACAAAGATCAATATTCAGAAATTGTAAAACAAATAATGTCGATGCTGACTCAAAAAAGGTCCATGGTGAATTTAAAACAAAATAGGGCCATACTGAGAGAATGAGAAATGTTTGTAATCTTATATTTAACTTTATACACATGTATATACACATTTATCAATATATAAATCTATATTATAGAATCATAGAATCAAAGAGTTGGAAGAGACCTCATGGGCCATCCAGTCCAACCCCCTGCCAAGAAGCAGGAATATTGCATTCAAATCACCCCTGACAGATGGCCATCCAGCCTCTGTTTAAAAGCTGTTTAAATATATAAATCAATACAGATCCTATAAATTAGTCCTATGGAATGGATAAAGGCTTGGGAGATTTTATTTAGAGCAGGATGACTACAATCAATGAAATATAAGTGATTAATATATGAAATGTTACTTCTTTTAACTTATTTATTCGAAGCATATCTACCTAGATCCAGCTCATTCAACTCAGTGAGATTTACATTCAACTAAGTATCTTTACATCTGCAATCTCTGCTCGTAATCTTATTGCATGTTAACACATTCCGTCCACATTCAAAACCCAATACTACAATACATCTTTCATGGTTTGTTAAAAGTTAGAAGTCCTCTGCTGTTCTAAACGCTGACTTGGATTTTGAGTGGCATTGATTGCTTATTTTTTAGCAGTAGAATCCCACATTTTCTATCTAGAGCACATGGAAAGGACACGTGCCAGGCAATTTCAGGACAAGATTCTAAATCAGGTCAGCTAAACCACCAGAGTTTAATAGCACCACGGGGACAGGCTGAGCACGTTACTTTCCCCAAACGTGTTTGGAGGGGAGCCATATCACCAAATCAATGTTACAACTGGATCAGAACAGGGAGGGAACAACACTTAGAAGTCAATATAATCAGTAGAAAGCAAAAGCAGAAATCTGCTGTTATGTGAGGGCTTTGGAAGAATACATCTCAATGGATAGTGGGCCACCTAGTGACCACAAACTGATAGTCCATATGCCTCTGGATGGTATTTCTGCAATGCAAATTGCATTTGTTCTTCAAAAAAGATATTGATTCAAGTAGTAGTTAATTTATATATTTTTATTGATTATTTGGGTCTTTCTCACCAATATTCGGGTAGATCCTTTTAAAATAATAACTAGCTGTACCCGCCTCGCGTTGCTGTGGCCAACCTTCCCTCTCTCTTTCTCTCCTCCTCTTTCTCCTTTCTTCCCTCTTTCCTTCCTTCCTTTTTTCTTTCATTCTATCCTTCCTTCCTTCTCTTTCCTTCCTTCCCTTTTCTTTCCCTTCCTCTTTCTCCCCTTTCTTCTCTATCTATTCTTGGACTACAACTCCCAGCTGTCCTCCTGATCGATCTATCAACCTACCTAGTTATCTATCTCTATCTAATGATGTTGTTTGCCGCTTTGAGTCGCCCGAGGGCTGATAAAAGCGGTATATCTATCTTATATATCTAGAGGATTGCTGGGAGTTGCAGTCCAGGAATAGGAAATTGGAAATATGCAGGGATTGGGATGCTCTCAAAGAAATCCAAGAAGAAAGCTTGCCGCTTGGAAGCAGTGCATTTGGATCATCCTCCTCTCCCTAAAGGGGCTGGTCTAGGGAATGCTGGAAGCTGTAGTCCGGAAGAGAGTTTGGATATGCTATTGTGTTTTGTTTGACTGTATTGACGACTTGGCTTGTGTAATGTGATGATGATGTTTTTATTGTACTTATATTTTAATGTGTAATGATGATGCACTATGTTGTTTTTGTATATTATTGTATATGAACACATGTTGTGAACCGGCCTGAGTCCCTCCTTGGAGGTGAGAAGACCGGTATATAAAACTTCTAAATAAATTTGCCAAGGTAAGTTGTTTTTACGCACGTGCTGTAGCATCTTTTTGCTTTTTGGGATTTTAAAGTTCCTTCCGTTGTGTTTTTATGAGTGATGGTTACTTGTTGATCTGATAGGTGTATTGTGTCCAAATTTGGTGTCAATTCATCCAGTGGTTTTTCAGTTATATTAATCCCACAAACCAACTTTACATTTTTATTTATATAGATAGTAATGTCAACATCAGAACAAGGGTCATAGAAATGCACTTACCTTTTCTACAAGTGGGATTAATTGCTGGTGTTCAGCTAAAGTCTTTAGTAATTCCATGATAAATGGCAGGTAATTATGTTTTCTTCTAATGTTTTCTATCTGCAAACACAGAAGGGGCATTTCACAAATTAGCATTAAATGCCACTATGCCCATATAAAAACAAGTGTCCAATTCCTTACATGAATAAGTGCACTGCACAAAATTTGTGAAGTAAGCAAAGCACCCAAGGAGAACCACTGGCTCCCCCAGCTGCAATGTTTATGTGATGTGACAATAATTAGAAATGACAGGGGCAGATGAAAGAAAAAAAAATCTGCAATGTATCAGTTTTTCTGCCCCTTTTTTTCTCATGAATTAAGAGAAAGAAAAGGTTAACAATTTAAAAATTGGCTGTGTCAGCAGAACTAAAGATATTTGGGGTTATATTGGCTGCACATTGAATGAGATTTATGCAACATTCAAGGACCTTTGCAATTCAGCTCTGATGATTTGACTGCCAGTCTGAATGCAGTTAATAAAAGGCATAGATTAGATTACGGCAATTAAATGTCTCAAGAAGCAAGATGGACGTTTCTGTAATTAATTCTCTGAAACCTGTCTTTTCTCTACCTTCTTTCTTCAAAAGGAAGCCCTCAATAAAACTGTGCCAATTCTATCTTGCTGCAATATGCAGGTAAGAGATTATTTCTGGGGCTATATCTTGGCTCGTGTTCAATGAAATATAAATAATATGTTTACATGCTGTTATGACAGATAATACTGAACAAAATTATTGACTTGGTACAAAATAGCCACAATAAAAATCCACCCACAGAAGTTGCAGAAACAGGATTGTAAGTGACAGCAAAAAGCACACATTAGTAATGTATTGATATCAGTGATAGAGCCAAGAGGAAAACTAGAACATAAAATAACACGTTTCAAATTTTATAAGCAATCAACTCCTATTTTGTAAAAAAAAGAAACATTAATACACTGACACGAGTACAGATTCTAACTGGAATTACATGCAAGCAGAGTTGAGAAAGTTAGGTTTTGCAATACAACTTTCAGAATTTTCCCAACAACATGGCTACTATTTGGGGGCGGGGGGGGGGGGGACTTCCAAGCTCTGATTCTAAGTAAACATACACAGGGTAGATTTGCAGGATACAAGCTGGGTATATTTAGTCTACAGAAGAGAAGGTTGAGAGGAGACGTGATAGACATGTTTAAATAGTTGAATTGATGTCATAAGGAAGAGGGGAGCAGGCTTGTTTTCCACTGCTCTGGAAACTAGGACTCAATGGAGCAATTGGTTCAAATTACAGGAAAGGAGATTCCGTCTGAACATGAGGAAGACCTTCCTGACCATAAGAGCTGTTCAGCAGTGGAATTGGTTCCGGTGGAAGCTCCTTCTTTGAAGGCTTTTCAACAGAGGCTGTATGGCTATCTGTTGGGGGTGCTTTGGTTGTGCTTTCCCTGCATGGAAGGGATTGCACTGGATATCTTTTCTTTTTCAACTCTGATTCTATGAAATTATCAATGCATGAGTATAATAGGTAGTTATATACCATTAACTTCAAACGCAACCAAACTGAGTTATTATAACAATATATATATATAGGTTCTTGTGGGTTTTTTCGGGCTATAGAGGCATTTCTCCTGACGTTTCGCCTGCATCTATGGCAAGCATCCTCAGAGGTAGTGAGGTCTGTTGGAATTAGGACAATGGGTTTATATATCTGTGGAATGGCTGGGGTGGGGCAAAGAGCTCTTCTCTGCTGGAGCTAGGTGTGAATGTTTCAACTGACCACCTTCATTAGCATTTGAAGGCCTGGCTGAGCCTGGGAAAATCTTTTGTTGAGAGGTGTTAAGATGTGCCTGGTTGTTTCCTCTCTGCTGTTTTGCTGTTGTAATTTTAGAGTTTTTTAATACTGGTAGCCAGATTTTGTTCATTTTCATGGTCTCTTCCTTTCTGTTGAAATTGTCCACATGCTTGTGGATTTCAATGACTTCTCTGTGTAGTCTGACATGGTGGTTGTTGGAGTGGTCCAGCATTTCTGTGTTCTCAAATAATATGCTGTGTCCAGGTTGGTTCATCAGGTGCTCTGCTATGGCTGACTTCTGGTTGAAGTAGTCTGCAGTGCCTTCATGTTCCTTGATTCGTGTTTGGGCGCTGCGTTTGGTGGTCCCTATGTAGACTTGTCCACAGCTGCATGGTATACGGTAGACTCCTGCAGAGCTGAGAGGATCCCTCTTGTCCTTTGCTGAACGTAGCATTTGTTGGATTTTCTTGGTGGGTTTGTAGATTGTTTGTATGTTGTGTTTCCTCATCAGCTTCCCTATGCGATCAGTGGTTCCCTTGATGTATGGCAGGAACACTTTTCCTCTGGGTGGATCTTCATCTTTACTCTCGTGGCTTGTTCTTGGTCTTGCAGCTCTTCTGATGTCTGAGGTGGAGTATCCATTGGCCTGGAGAGCCCAGTTGAGGTGGTTCCGTTCATCTTGGAGGAGGTGGGCTTCGCAGATTCTTTCGCCTCCAAGATGAACTGAACCACCTAAACTGGGCTCTACAAGCCAATGGATACTCCACCTCAGACATCAGAAGAGCTGCAAGACCGAGAACCTGACTGCAGCAGGGAAGAGCTCCTTGCCCCACCCCAGCCATTCCATAGATATATAAACCCAATTGTCCTAATTCCAACAGACCTCACTACCTCTGAGGATGCTTGCCATAGATGCAGGCGAAACGTCAGGAGAAATGCCTCTAGAACATGGCCCTATAGCCCGAAAAAACCCACAAGAACCTAGTGATTCCAGCCATGAAAGCCTTCGACAATACAATATATATATGTTCATGAATGATACCAGTAGCCTCTGATTTTCAGAATAAAAAATAATTAATTGGAGTACAGTAATTAATTGGGCTATTCAATCTAGCGAGAGGCAACATGTGAAACAATTCCAACCACAGCGAGTACAGTACTCCTTATTCTAAGCTGTCAGTACTCCTTATTCTAAGAAAAAATAGTCCCGATAGCTGTACAGGCAAGTTATCTAGAAGTCCACACTGCATCACGTAAAATTACAATCACACCAAACAAACAAATGTAATAGAAAAAGAGGCCAGAGTGTTGGACATAACTGCTCAAAGCTGCATGAGCAGTTTGTCCAGTGGCAAGGTCAATCAATATCATTACTTGCCCACCCCCACCAAAAAAAAAACCCCAGCAGTCTTCCTGTTCACAGAGCAACTCAGGCCCCTCCTACACTACCATATAAAATCCTGATTATCTGCTTTGAACTGGATTATATTTATTTATTTATTTATTTATTTATTATTTAAACTTATATGCCGCCACTCCCCTGGGGCTCGGAGCGGCTTACAAGAATGGCTAAAATCTAACAAAATTTAAAAGCAATTTAAAACAATTTAAAAACAACACTATCAAACATTAAAAGCCTGTCGAAACAGGTATGTCTTACATGCCCTGCGGAAAGCTGGTAAGTCCCGCAGGGCACGAACTTCAGGTGGCAGAGCATTCCAGACTGATGGCGCCACTGCTGTGAAGGCTCTGCGTCTGGTTGCCGTTAGACGCAAGGTCTTGACACTGGGGACTTCCAATAGATCTTGGTCCTCAGAACGGAGGGATCTCTGGGGTTGGTAGAGGGTGAGACGATCCCTCAGATACATTGGCCCCAGACCATGCAAGGCCTTAAAGGTGAGTACCATCACTTTGAAAGTGATCCGGTGCTCAATTGGTAACCAATGCAGCTGTAGTAAGATTGGTGTTATGTGGCATCTCATCGCAATTCCCGCAAGAAGCAGAGCAGCTGCATTTTGTACCAACTTGAGCTTCCGGATCACCGACAGAGGAAGGCCAATGTAGAGGGCGTTACAGTAGTCCAGTCTTGAGATGACCGTAGCCTGGATCACCGTAGCTAGGTCGTCCCTGGACAGGGAGGGGGCCAGCCGTCTAGCCTGCCGCAGGTGAAAGAAGGCGGTTCTGCTCACGGCGGAGACCTGGGCCTCCATGTCAGCAGAGGGTCCAAAAGGACTCCCAGACTCTTTACCAATGATGATGGGCGTAGCGCCTCGCCATCCAGGGTAGGCAGCTGGATATCCCCACTGCTCGGTCGACCCAGCCATAGGATCTCCGTCTTTGCTGGATTCACCCTCAACCTGCTGGCACGCAGCCATCCAGTAACGGCCTCGAGGCACTGATGGAAACAATCGGGTACAGAGTCCGGTCGGCCTTCCATCTTCAGCACCAGCTGAGTGTCATCGGCGTACTGATAACCCTCAAGCCCAAAACCTCGAACCAGCTGAGCAAGTGGTCGCATATAGATGTTAAACAACAGAGGGGAGAGAATGGCCCCCTGAGGAACTCCACAAGATAGAGGGGACCTCTCAGAGACCAGGCCTCCCCTCTCCACTCGCTGTCCACGGTTGTGAAGAAAGGAGGACAGCCAGTTTAAAGCTGTCCCCCTGATTCCAGCAACAGCAAGGCGGTGGGTCAAGAGATTGTGGTCGACTGTGTCAAATGCTGCTGTGAGATCCAATAGCACAAGCAGCGCTGACCCGCCCTGGTCAAGCTGGCATCGAAGGTGATCCGTGATGGAGACCAGCACAGTCTCTGTCCCGTGCCCCGCACGGAAGCCGGATTGGAAGGGATCTAGTCCGGCTGTGTCGTCTAGGAATTGCTGCAACTGCTCCGCTGCTGCCCTCTCAATCACCTTGCCCAGGAACGACAGTGCAGATTCATATAACCCAGTTTAAAGCAGAGAATTATCTACTTTGATAATCTGGATTACATGACAATGTAGAAGGGGTATCAGTTTAAGTCTTTCAACAGAAGAACCTCCTATATGTGCAGTTTTATTGACTAAGTTTACCTGACTGCACCAATTCTTGAACTGGGTTGTGCAACTAGCTAACAGTGGTCCCACCCAAAAGAGACCAAAGAGAAAGTGAGGGAAGACCTATTATTAAAAAATAAGAAAATACTCAAGATTATGGAATCTACCTCAAAACAAAATAAGTTCGAAAAAAGGAACTAAATGAATGAGATTACACGTCATCTAACCTTGGTGAAGGGATCAACTTGCACAGCCCCCTAGAATCAAGGTAGAAAAGAAATTTCAACAAGGAATGGGCCTGACGGGATCAAACCAGCCATGATATATAATGATCTTAGACTGCAAGGCATCTTTTAATCTCTGGCCTCTTTCAGCTTTGCAGATTTACTAAACTAGACATTCAATAGACAGAAGTGGAAATAAATTTGGGAAAAAGTCAGTTCAGGTTGAGTATTATGACTCTAAAGAGTGGACCAAGATCTCCTGAGAACCTCCTGTTTTCAAGAAGAATATCAATTATGGGTTGCTGTTAGTTTTTCGACTGTACGGCCATGTTCCAGTAGCATTTTCTCTTGAAATTTTGCCTGCATCTGTGGCTGGCATCCTCAGAGGTTTATTCAGAGGTTTGTTGGAAATGAGGCGTGGAGTATGTGTGTGTGTATCTATCTATCTGTGGAATTTCCAGGGTGGGAAAAAGAATTCTGTCTGTTTGAAGTAAGTGTGAATGTTGCAATTAGCAAACTTGATCAGCATTGAATAGCCCTGTAGCTGCAAAGTCAACTAGTGAGGGTATTTGCACAGAGGTAGCCTGGCTGTTGTGCCTGGAAGCATCCTTTTGTTATGTTTTGTTATAGTTGTGAATTTTATTTTGGGATCTTGGGGGGGGGGGGTGTTGTTTATTTCTCTTTGTTAGTGTAGTCTAGCATTGAATGCTTGCCATTGTTGGTTGGAAATGGCCCTGAGTCCCCTTGGAAAGACAGGGTGGTATATAAATAAAGTATTATTATTATTATTATTATTACTATTTATTTATTTATTTAGAGTGCTTCTACCCCGCCCTTCTCAACCCCCTGGGGGGGGGGGACTCAGGGCGGCTTACAAAAGGCACAATTTGATGCCTAACAGTTCACAAAATACAATATAACAACAACAATTATAACTAGTTAAAACAATCAAATTAATACAATAGCAGCAATAAAATCATCTTGTGGTCAACGTTCACCAATTCATAAATCCATAGTCCATCCAGCATTATCATAGTTCTTTCCTACTCTGGTCGTCATTGTCCTTTATCCATCTGCCAGCTTACCCAAAGGCCTGGTCCCATACTCATAATATGCATACTCATATTAAAAACTCTGGCATAGACACTGAGAACTAGGAAGCCCTGGCCCTTGAGCACTCCAGCTGGACGTCAGCTGTGACCAGCAGTGCTGTAGAAGTTGAAGAGGTACGAATGGAGGGTGAAAGAGAGAAACGTGCCAAGAGGAAGGTGTGTCAAGCCAACCCCGATTGGGACCGCCTTCCATCTGGAAACCAATGCCCTCACTGCGGGAGAAGATGCAGATCAAGAATAGAGATCTACAGTCACCCATGTACCCACCAGCAGTACACTGATCCTGGAAGACTATCCTACTCGGACAATGAGTGATTGCCTAAGTATGGGATGCAAGTGAAACGTCAGGAGAGAATGTTATTGGAACATGGCCATACAGCTCGAAAAACTCACAGCAACCCAGTGATTCTGATCACGAAAGCCTTCAACAACACAATATCAACTATATTAACATTGTGGTTTAGGACATATATTTCCCTGATATTATTTTGCTTTGTTTATGCTGAAGTTTTGTGAAAAGCGCAGCATCTGTCTTAAGCAGAGATGAAGGAAGCAGACATGACGTGTTCACTCTTTTTAAACAGAGGATTATTACTCAAGTTTTCAAAGGCACATTTTATTTTGCTAAGGTACATCTCAAAGATTACAAGGTAACTGAGATGGCATGCTTTCTCTCTGTCTCTTCCAGCGATACTCAAACGGTGTTCTGTGAAATTGGAGTTTATCACTGAAAAAGTCAGTTATGATGGAAAAACGCATCTCAGAAAGATAGCTTACCTTTCATGACCAGTTTGTCCCTGATCTGCTGGAAAAAGATATTGCTAGATGTGAAACAGCCATGGGATCTAAGAGGTTTGTGGTGAACAGTCCACATGGATTAATTGTAGCCTAGATTGGGGTGTAACAGCCTTTCAAGGTTGCTGTGAGCTTTCTGGGTTGTATGGCCATGTTCCAGAAGCATTCTCTCCTGATGTTTCACCCACATCTACGGCAGGCATCTCAGAGGTTTAGGGGTCAGAGGTTGAGACCCCTCAATCTCTGAAGATGTCTGCCATAGATATGGGTGAAACGTCAGGAGAGAATGCTTTTGGAACATGTCTATACAGCCCGAAAAACTCACAGGAACCTAGATTCCGGCCATGAAAGCCTTCAACAACACATTGAATGCCTCTCCAGGATTTTCAGCTAAGCCATAGTGGAGCAGGGGAGGATACGATGTATGAAACTACTCTAGGAGAAACGGTTATCTAGACTTAATCAACTATCCATTCCTCTGCCTCAAAAGGCATCTTGATAACCCTGATAGCTTGATACATTTGGATATAACATAATGCAAGTTATATTTTTCCTGAACACCAAATGAAAGACCATATAATTTAAAGCTCTACAAGTATCTATGTTTTCATGTTAGACTTATATCCTGTGGAATCAACACAGCAATTGAGTTTTTGAAACATTTTACCATTCACATACCTTGTACCTTTTCAATTTTTGGTTTTCTTCTTCAATTAACATCTGATACTTTGCAACTTCTGACTGAATAGAACTTAGTATATTACTGCTCTGGTCTGTATCCATGGGCTCTTCCTTTATAGAAAAAAGTTTAGTAATGTACACGTTAGCACAGCTTAATTAATTTAGTATCTAAATAGTAACATTATATAAGGCAGGACTGAAGACCGACAGGTCAAAGGTTCGAATCTAGGGAGAGCGTGGATGAGCTCCCTCTATCAGGTCCATCTGAACATGAGGAAGAATTTCCTGACTATTAGACCCGTTCAGCAGTGGAACTCTCTGCCCTGGAGTGTGGCGGATGCTTCTTCTTTGGAAGCGTTTAAACAGAGGCTGGGTGGCCATCTGTCAGGGGTGCTTTGAATGCAATATTCCTGCTTCTTAGCAGGGGGTTGGACTGGATGGCCCATGAGGTCTCTTCCAACTCTATGATTCTATGTTTTACTCAAATGTATTTTATTGATTAGTTTTCATGTTTAATTACAATAAATTATCATTTTAATTATCTGCATTTAATTTATTATGTATTTGTATTTTCACTGTGTATTGTATGGCATCGAATAGCTGCCATTCATGTAAGCTGCCCCAAGCCCCCAAGGGGAGACTCGGGGTATAAATAAAGTTGACTTTACTTGACTATATTTACTTTTTATGATACAGTCTGTTACTTCAGCAATTTGTAAATTGGCTTTTCTGCTTCTTGTTTAATGACCAATCTTCACAAACTTACTGGAACAAAATAAAATAGTGCCAATGAAGAATCTATCATTGAATTTCAGGATTGTTGGTTGAATCTTTCCCCAGCTGTGAACATTTTCAATAACAGTTTAATGGTAGAAGCAGAAAAGCTTCATACCATTTTTGAAAACATAAAACATGTTCAGGATTTCAAAGACTTTACTTTGAAGAGATGTTCAAAGACTGGGGGTGCAAGGGATCAAGGAGACAAAGAAAAGCCTAATCCATATTATACATGCCTGATCATAGAATCATAGAATCAAAGAGTTGGAAGAGACCTCATGGGCCATCCAGTCCAACCCCCTGCCAAGAAGCAGGAATATTGCATTCAAATCACCCCTGACAGATGGCCACCCAGCCTCTGTTTAAAAGCTTCCAAAGAAGGAGCCTCCACCACACCCCAGGTGTGGTGTTACCACTAGATTACCACTAGATTCCATTTTCTTTCTTACACAGGGCTCTCAGTTTTTCTTTCCTTCTTCTCATTAAAGGAACTGATTAGGTTCACATCTGCTCAGCTTCAGAAATATTACAAAATCATATTACAAAGTCACTAAAGTCACTAAATATTACAAAGTCACTAAGCCTTATGGTCCAAGCATTATAAAGAAACAGCTTAACTGGCAAAATACCTCAGCAAGTTGTGCCTGCAATTCCGCAATTTTCTGTTCATATATCATTTTTCTGTCAGATACAATTGCCATCAAGTTAAACCTTATTTCACCTTCACTGTACCTACAAAGCAAGAAGAAATGTGTCATTCAGTGCTATCCCTGCAATACCAGCCAAAAAGCAATTCATGATCTTTAATACGCTATTGAGTCAAAAGACAAGATGGCAATATATTCATTTATCAGGAATAAATAGTGAGCCAACAGTATATAAAAAGTAAAACTGTCTCCTCTCAGGCACCAATTTCATAATGTGTCAATATGCAGAAACAATATAAAAGTATGGTATATTGTGATATATCTATCATTCTATATGCATCCCTCTAGATGTTTATAAAGACTGGCAAATTAAAGTGGGTCCCCAAAACTGACACTCTTTAATCAAGAGAGAAAAATGGGTAGGAAAAAATTAAATCCAATTCACTTTAGCTAACATTCTAATGTTAACTTTAGCTAACATTCCACTTTCACAGAAAAAAAATAGCTGTCATAAATTAGATGCTTACTTTTGTATCCGTTTCTCTATGACTGGCCTTACAGCACTGATCCAATCATCTTGATTGCATACTCCTAAAATGAAAGCACACAAATACAATACTGAGGCACATGAGGGGCTTTTCTTTTGGGTGCATTAAATGGTCAGTGTAGATGGGATCTAAGCTTCCAAAACAAATTTTGTGGGAAGTTCAAAGAATTGAAATGTGAACTTTTTAACATGAGGCCCTGCATGCAGAACACAAAAGCTTATATTTAAAACCCGGCGTGCCATATATAACCTTTCTAAAAAATACCAACAAACTTTTATTTTTGATATAGCATGAAAACTGCAATGACTAATAATAACTTTTTTAAACCCGCACAAGATGACTTAAAAACACATTGTGACAAATCACACATGTCACAAATCTGGCCCATGATGTTGTTTTATGTAGCCTGTGAGGCTTTCAATGCCAGGGCTACATAGTTACATTTAGGGCCGGGCTTTAGCAAGCAGGTAATCTTGCCAACCAAAAGGTTGACAGTTCAAAGCCTGGGTCAGGGTGAAATCTATGTTATGTTAAAAATGTGTTTACTTAAAATTCTCCCCTCTTAATATATTGTGAAACGCTGTTTTCTTCAATCTGGGAAATGCAGATGATAGTGAAACTTTTATTCTAATAAAAAAGTTTAAAGGACAATAGAAACCAGTCTCATATCCCTCTGATGTGTATTTGGAGGGTATGACAGGGATCTGGTTTAGGCGTCTCAAGAATCACACATGTCACAAATCTGGCCCATGATGTTGTTTTATGTAGCCTGTGAGGCTTTCAATGCCAGGGCTACATAGTTACATTTAGGGCCGGGCTTTAGCAAGCAGGTTAACTGCCGGCTGCAGTAAATCTTGCCAACCAAAAGGTTGACAGTTCAAACTCGAGTCAGGGTGAAATCCTGGCCTTTAGCCCAGCTCATGCCTTCATAGAATTTTCAAAAACAGCAATGTGAGTAGATCAATAGGGAAGGTATTTAAGGCACCCATAAGGGAATGCCAGAAAAATGCCGGCAATTCAATAAAGGAGAAAGTTTACAAAAAAACTCTTCAGCAGGGAAAGTGGAGCAACATGACCAGAAATGAACACAGCCTCCAAGATGCCGGAGATGGAAAAGTCTATATATCTCTATCTATGTACAGTTGTCTGTTTTGTCAGTGTATAACAGCATTGAATGCTTGCTGTATATGTGTTCTGTGATCCGCTCTGATTTCCCTTCGGGGTGAGAAGGGCAGAATAAAAATACTGTAAATAAATAAATAAATTTATATAGTCTTAGAATTAAAAATGGTCCTTTGAAGGCAACCATAAGGTTGATGTGGACTCTAATGAAAATGAGTTGGACACCTGTGGAATAATTTGGTTCTCCCTCATTCCTAAAAGATGTATATTAATAATTGGATGTTTAAGTGAAAAACATATTTGACTAAATCAATATAATCTTTTTAAGTGTGTAAATTATTTAGAAGCAACTCTCCAGTTGAATTAAAAAAGAGAATTTATAACACTTGTATTCTGTAAGAAGATATTTTTAAAATGTTTTATAGAGTAGACCAGTGGTTCTTAATATTGAGTTGTTCTTATTTTTCAAGCATTAGAAGTTCCAGCCAGTATGGCAATGTTTAGGAATTTCAGGAACTGAAATCTCAAACATCTGGAGGCCAAAGTTTGGGGATCTGATGTAAACCATTTTCACCCAGCTTGCTTTACAGAATTTAAACCTATAATCTTCTATAATATCCTGATTTCTGAAACATACTATTAATTCCAGAAATACTAGTAACACTGGAAGTTTGGACAGTAATTAACTTTGAATTTTGTGACAGCTATTATTCTATTTTGGCTTAAAGGACCTTTTTTCACTTTCCATATACTTCAACATAATTAACTATCCTATCATATAATGACACACACAACAACCATAAAGTCTACATGAGAAAACAGGAAGAACATTACACTGCTAAATGAAATTTTACCCAAATCTATTGGCCCTTCCCGCAGACCATCTAGTTCATATAACCTTCCGTTTACGGGAACGTAGCTGACAAAATGAAAAGCATCTTCTTCTTTCGCTGTTGACTTTGCATCAAACTCAAACATTTGTTGTCTAAAGGAAGGTGAAAGAAATGAATGAAAATTAAAATAAAACAAAACATTTTCTTAGGAAACTGGATGATTTGCACAGTTCTGGTTATTACCTGGCAAAACTGTTGTGAACTTGTCGAATCACTTCTGAGTTACTTAATGCTAGACCCTTCATCTAAAATTAAAATGAGAAATTTCTTTAATTGGTCATGAGCAAGGTTTTTACAGAAAAAAAACAAAACAAAGCAAAGCAAAGAAGAGGTGAACATAACTAAAAATTCAATTTCACATACCGCTGCATCAAAGCTTTGAGAGAATTCTCTGAATTCCGAGAGTGTTTCTCCTAAATGGACATCTTGATGAGTACAGTTTAGTAGTACACTTACTATGGCTTGAGTTGCACAAGCATTATTTATCACCTGCAAAGGAGTGAACAATAATTTAGGATAGATCAAATATATAAGCCAAGTTTAATTCGCTTCAAGTTAATCCACTGCAACCTGTACGTTTTGACAGAAGAACAACAGAAACTCTTCATACATGTATACTGTGATTCGAGTATCCATTGCATGGGATGTCTGCACCTCTTACACACATTGGTTTACTCAGCAGCTTTGTTTTATAAAACAAATTCAAACTGTTGATATATTATTCTGTAGACACACAAATGATACTTTTGTATGTTTAACAAAAGTTATCATGGTAGCATTACTTAAGAAGATTTCTTGTATGAAGTCTCCCACATTTAAAATCTTCTTCAGCAGCACAGACTATGATCCAAAGTACTACTTCAGTTATAAACAACATTTTTAAGATGAGTTGAAGACTTAGAAATTTCCTGCTTAAAATATAAATTGCCAAAAAACATTCAGCAGTCAAACCAGGCTTTTAAAACAGAAAACTACTACTACTACATATATTTGTGTATGTTAAGAAATTTTAAGTCAAAAATATCAACCCTAAAAACCTGAGTTGACTTATTTACAGTAAGTACTGTACCTTAACTCTTATTAAAAGTGAACCAACTACTTCCTACTCTAAATCTGATTAATATTATCAAAAATTAGTAAAAGGGAAAGCTATTATACAACCTAATCCAACAATTTTCTATATCTATGAATGCCTGTGTAACATAGATTATTTCTTTATTTACAATATTTCTATCCCACCTTTCTTGAACCCAAAAGTGACTCAAGGCAGCTTAGATGGAAGTGCCTTTGTTCCCACTTAGTCTCCGTGACTTGAAAACTGTTTTCTACAAAATATAAGGGCTCAGGCTACATGCATGCTTATCTAAAAATACATCCAATATGAACTTAATAGGATTCAGTTGTGAGCATGCATATAGAAGGTTACAAGACTACATTGCACATAGTATCAAGGTGGCCTAATTTTTACAAGTGTGCTAATTAAGCTGCTCACATTACAAAACATGATTTTAACCAGTGGTTTGCTTGCCAAAGATATACTCAAGAGCTCCAGGCACTATTGATAGGGTAATAATCAATGATGGTTATTAATAAAGTTACAGAAATTACTTAGTTGTTATTTATGAATACTGAAACAGCCATAATATGAATCAAACAATTAGACAATTTAATCCGTTATCGTTTATACACAATGGCAGCACCTGTTTGTTTTTTTTCAAATGAGACTTTCCCTGTTATTTTTAATACTCTGGTAATGGATTCAACTATAGGTACATATATTTTGGTAAAACTGAATTCTCACACAGCAAAGATATGACACTCTGTGATAAGTTACATTAGCATACTGAACTCAACTCAAACACCACATAAATGGTATGTTCAGGTCTGACTAAAGATTGCAGGAAATTGGTTTTCACTGACTACAACAAAACACACCACAATTAAGAGTAATTCAAATCTGAATCACAAAAATAATGCTAGCAAGTTGCCAATCTGAAATGGAAGATTTATATGTTCCCAGCACAAACAATATTTCATTAATGTCTGTCATTGGGAACTGCCCTGAGGGATTGCTGGCATGAACAACAGCACATGTTATGTATGTCATAAAAATTAAGAAATAAAAGGTTTTAAAGATTAATCTATGGAACACACATTCAAAATACACACACCCCATCCCTCCCATCTCCTGCCTGCACCCCCTGCTTGCGCACTCCCCACTCCACCCAACCCAGTTTGAGCACTTTGTCTGCCTCTAAAACACTGGTTCTCAACCTGTGGGTCCCCAGATGTTTTGGCCTTCAACTCCCAGAAACCCTAACAGCTGGTAAACTGGGTGGGATTTCTGGGAGTTGTAGGCCAAAACACCTGGGGACCCACAGGTTGAGAACCACTGCAAAGGTTTGTCATCACTGAAGTAGTCTCATCACAATCCCTTTTAAATATGGTTTTGGTGCCATCATGTGTCACCTTTGTGAACTGCCAATCCATGCAAATTAAATTATTTTAAAGAACCAGAAAGAGTACCTTTGTCTGACTTCCATGGTTTAGTTCCACCAAGATTGATTTTATGGGATTTGCCAATGTGACTTATTGTTTAACAGTTGATTCAAAAGATTTACTTGCATGGTGACTAATCAGTAAGATTCCAGCTCTTGTTTTTCACACTTGCATCCCAATTCTAAAGACATTTGCAGTGAAACAGCTAAAGCAGACGAGCCCCCCAAATTATAAAGTTCATGTATTTTGACAAAGCACACAATGAAACAAAAAAATGACAGTTTTTGCATCATTGCCATAACATTAGAATAGGAGGGAGGGGTAACTCCGTGTAACGGCTGATGGAATTGTTAGTGGGAGGTAACAGAGATAATGGCTGCCAACATTCTATTATGTTCTCACCATTCCAGAAAAACATATTGACATTTTGCTATAGTTTATACTGTTATACAAAAAAACCCCACAAATAACAATAATAAATAAATAAATAAACTTTATTTATACCCCACCACCATCTCCCCAAAGGGGACTCGGGGCGGCTTACATGAAGCCAAGCCCAGCAGTGCATTACAACAAAGTAAAACCAAGAACACAAAACAGACATCACAATAAAATAAATAAAACATAAGAATACAATAAAACAGCGCAAAAATACAATCACAATGAGTGGGCCACATGAACAAGACAAAATGATAAAAACTCAGGATGAGATAGAAATGAAACAGAAATATTTGTGAGAGTCATTGGGAAACGGAGTGTTGGAGACAGGCCTTCGAATAGACGTGGGGGGGGGGATACAATATGAGGACAAACATTTTGGGGAGCGAACAAATAAGATGTAAGGTCACTCTCCAAAGGCGCAACGGAAAACCAGGTTTTTGAGATCCTTCTTGAAGGCTGCTAGAGTGGAGGCTTGCCTGATCTCAGTGGGCAATTAATTTCAGAGTCAGGGAGCCACAGAGGAGAAGGTTCTCTCCCTCATTCCCATAAGTCAGGCTTGTGATAAAGAGAGTGGCAAAAGGAGGGCCACTCGAAAAAAAAGATCGAAAAAACCCCCCCACCTAAATCGTACTTTATGCTACCTGAACATTGATAAATGTTAAGTTTTGATTGCCAACTTCTATGAAATCTGGCTTACATTATTGGAAGACTTACTTTAGAGTAGTCTTACTTCATTTCTGATGTGTGTGTGTGTGTGTGTGTGTATCTTTCCCAAATAAGGATCATTTGAAGATCCATGTGTTCTCAGCATTAGAGGATGAAGAAATCTGTCCCATAAATTTGCTAAATATCTTCTTACAGTAAAATCTGATGTTTATTTAACTAGAAATGGATGACACTGAGATGCAAGTGACTTCCTTCCAAAAGAATCTGCAAAACTTTACAGGTTACAACATTATTCCATGAGAATGACAAAAAAGTGTGTGTGATACTTTCAATTCATATAATACAAGCCTGTAATTCTTGCCTGTGGTAATTTGTATCTGATCTTTCCAACCCAACCTGTGCAATCATTCTTAATCAGAAAATGCTCTAGGTGAATATATAGAGAAGTTGTAAACTTACTGTACCTGTTTAGCAAAAAATATTGTATCTAATCTGGAATCCTGAACAACAGAGCCAGCTGGTTCTTCTCCTGGTTGCCATTTGAATAGAAAAATCAGTCCATGAACAGGCCTACAGAGAGAAAGCAGGAGGAAAATATATACCAAAACATATATACTTATGGAAAGTCACTATTCCCAATATATGTAACATCTTAACATTGAAAATGCTTATTGAAATCAAATCCATTAACACTACTAGACCACAAATGCAAGATTCTTAGCAGCTTCACTACTTGTTCATGACAGTAATGACTGACAGAAGAACGGACGGAAATATTATGTCTTTCTGAAAAACCAGTAGGATGTTGCTCCTGCTGCATCTTATTGTTGAATTAATCTTCACATTCTTGGTCCAAATGCCTACAACTAGACTGTGACACATATAGCAAGTAATTCCAATCCACATTCTTGACAAAGACTATAACAACTAAAATTACAAAAAATTAAGTTGTTTCAGAATTTCTTTTTTATTATTGATAGCATCCCCTGATGAATATTCTGCTCAGAATGTCTGTACTTGTAGAGAGATGGGAGAGAAGAGCAGATATAGTCCAAACTTCCAAAACTGATGAAGCTACACCTCCTAACAGTTATGGAAAGTTCTAAACATTGGGAACAGAATTTTGGAAGGATACAGATGACTGTAAAGAGAGATGAAGGTATATGAAAATTGCCTCCTCAAATTATTTCAGCAATATAATGTTCCTTCCATAGACATATGGACATATTTCTAGATTTCTTCATACATGTCTACAGATAATACGGATGGGAAATATACGTACTTCAATTTTTCAAAGTTCTCTGGCTCCAAACTCCATATCTCCTCAACCTGAGCACCTCTGCAACCTGAAATAGTATAGAAAATTTTGCTGATAACTGTTTAATAAGTTAGCTTTTATGAAGATACCAGATGAAAAGGTAGATACTGCTAACCAAATTAAACTGCTTTTGTTTACCCTGTATATTCATGTAGTCTTGAAAATTTAGTCAAAAATTCAATCACAAACCTGGGTCAACTTATTCACAGGCCAGCGTGAGTACCGTACTTTAATTCTTATTTTTTTAAAAAATAGAAAGAGCCATTCTGTTCTGTGAGTAGAGTGGTGAAAAGCAACCATTTATTTTGTTCCAGGAGAACCTAAAAGAAACACATTTCCCCTTTACTCTCTCTGTCCTTTTGAATACCTGGGTAGGGAAATGGCTGTGGGAGCCAAGGGCAGTTGGCAATAGTGCTATCGATCCTTTTCCATCTCTATGGAATGACCCTTGATGTATCCCTGGATCAAATAAAAAATCCATAATTTGATCCCCAAACCTGCCGTTGACTTATGCATAAGACTAACTTATACATGAGTATATATGGTAAATATACAGAAAAATATATACTTTTTATAGCACTTTTCCGAATACAAAGTGCTCCATAGTGAGTGAATTCTTTCACAGAACAAGCCAAGGAATTAGAAGAACTCTGACCTGTCATGAGCTGTCTAGTATGCACTACTCCCACATGCAGGTGTTGTGGCTAAACCACAATATAGTTACTTTTAAAATGAAAGTTGTGTGAGGATTCACATATTTACAAAGTTTTGAAAAAAGCACCGAGGTACTACAAGAATGATTAATATTTCTACTATTATGAGCTATAGGGGGGTGCCTATAAATGTGAATTTATCTTCAGAACAGGAAGACACAGTAGCATTTTGGGATGCATAGTTGCTTTGTAAATATATTTTGGTTAAGTTGTTAACCACTCAAGTTAACAAAAGCTTGCTCTTTTTTCCATTCTGTTACCAAGGAAGTCACGGTTTTGCCTGAGTTAAGACTTATTTCATCTAACATAATTTTGGCTTAATTGCATTCACGAGAGCTCTTAATGGAAATTGTACATCTCTTCCAATGTGTCATATTCTCCAAGTATAGTCAATTTAGTTTATCTATTAGAATTAAAAACTCAAACTGTTCCTCTAGTAAGACCCTTTTGAATATGGAATATATTCATTATTTATTTATTTACTGTATTTGTATACCGCCTTTCTCAGCCCGCAGGTGACTCAAGGCGGTTAACAGGGTAAAATTCAATGCTTACAATATCATAAATGTAATTAAAAACATAACATATAATAAAAACTCAACAAATCAATAAAATATAATTTCATAGTGTCTTCTTGTTAAAAAGGTTGTCTTGGTCTCAATGTCGTTATTCCATTTTCCAATGTCAGTTATTCTGCATCTGGAAACGCTTGCTCAAAAAGCCGTGTCTTGACTTTTTTCAGGAATGTTAAAAGGGAAGGGGCTGATCTAATATCTATAGGGAGGGCATTCCATAGCCCAGGGGCCACCGCCGAGAAGGCTCTGTCTCTCGCCTCCGCCGAGAAGGCTCTGTCTCTCGCCTCCGCCAAACATACTTGTAACAAAGGCGGTAATGAGAGCAGGGCCTTCCCAGATGATCTTAAGGTCCTAGATGGTTCATAAGGGGAGATGCGTTCAGACATGTAAGTTGGGCCAGAACCGTTTAGGGCTTTATAGGCTAAAGTCAGAACTTTGAATTCTGCCTAACAAACTGGCAGCCAATGGAGCTGGTGCAACATGGGAGTTGTATGCTCCCTGAGCGCCACTCTTGTTAGCAATCTGGCTGCAATTTGTTGGACCATTTGAAGCTTCCGGACAGTCTTCAAAGGCAATCCCACGTAGAGCATATTGCAGTAGTCTATACGGGATGTAACCAGAGTGTGGACTACCATGGCTAAGTCAGACTTCCCAAGGCACGGGCATAGCTGGCACATAAGTTTTAACTGCGAATGCTCCCCTGGTCACCGCCAAGACCTGGGGTTCCAGGCTCAGTGATGAGTCCAGGATCACTCCCAAGCTGCGAACCTGCGGCTTCAGGGGGAGTGAAATTCCATCCAATACAGGCTGCAACCCTATGCCCTGTTCAGCCTTACGATTGACCAGGAGTACCCCTGTCTTGTCTGGATTCAGTTTCTATTTTTTTGCCCTCATCCAGATCGTCACAGCGGCCAAGCATCGATTCAGAATCTGAACAGCCTCCTTAGTAGCAGGTGGGAAGGAGTGATAGAGTTGGACATCATCTGCATACAGGTGACACCTCACCCCAAAACTCCAGATGATCACCCTCAGCAGCTTCATGTAGATGTTAAACAACATGGGAGACAATATTGAACCCTGAGGAACCCTACAAGACAATGGCTGTGGGGTTGAATAGGAGTCCCCCAGTAACACCTTCTAGGTGGGTATTCTGTATTATATATGGCAGTGTAGACTCAGACAACCCAGGGGCCTTCCACACAGACATATAATCTAGAATAGCAAGGAAGAAAACCTCACAATTGCTGCTTTGAACTGGGTTATCTAAGTCCATACTGCCATATATCTTGGTTCAAAGCAGCTATAGCGTGATTTTTCTGCCTTGTTATTGCGGGTTATGTGGCTGTGTGGAAGGGCCCTGAGTCCACACTGTCATATAATCCAGTTCAATGTGGATTTTATACCACTGTGTGGAAGGAGTCACATTAAACGAAGGATGAAGCTTGTGCGCCAGCTGCGCCCGTTCCTTGGGAAGTCTAATATGGCCACGGTGGTCCATGCTCTGGTTACATCCTGAATAGACTACTGCAACGCTCTCTACGTGGGGCTGCCTTTGAAAACTTCTCGGAAGCTCCAATTAGTCCAGCAATCAGCGGCCAGGTTGTTGCGTACAGGGAGCGTACCACTCCTCTGTTGCGCTAGCTCCAGTGGCTGCCAATTCGCTTTTGGGCACAATTCAAAGTGCTGGTTTTAACCTTTAAAGTCTTGAATGGTTCTGGCCCAGATTACCTGTCCGAACGTATCTCCTGCTATGAACCATCGCGAAGCTTAAGATCATCAGGAGAGGCCCTGCTCTCTATCCCACCACTCTAGCTAATGCGGTTGGTGGGGACGAGAGACAGTGCCTTCTCGGCAGTGGCCCCCCATCTGTGGAACTCTCTTCCTAAGGATATCAGGTTGGCCACCTCCCTCCTGTCCTTTAGAAGACAACTGAAAACCTGGCTCTGGGGCCAGGCATTCGATTAGAGGACAGTGGCAATAGGAAAAGGAAATTTGGATTTTGCAACATGGATTCTCCTGGCTCGGCTTGGTTTTACTGGCATGTTAATCTATTAATTTATTGTTAAATTTTACTGATGATGTTGTATAATGTTTTAAAATGATTTTATTGTGAATTGTAATTTTTATGGTATTTATGCTATTACATCCTCTGATGCTCATGTGAAGCCGCGCTGAGTCCCCCTTGTGGGGAGAAGGGCTGGATAGAAATATATGAAATAAATATATATGAAATAAATGGAGCTAAGTTCTGTTTGTTTTAGGGGTCTATATTATTATTATTATTATTAACCTTTATTTATACCCCGCTAACATCTCCCGAAGGACTCAGTGCGGCTTACAAGAGGCCAAGGCCCAACACATAAATAAAACAACAGCATAGCAAAACAGCAATAAATACTCATAAAGCAAAACAATAAACATTAATACAATAGCAATAAACATTGAGCAATAACACCACGGTGCATTTAAAACTAAGGCCGGGCCAAATGTAATGAATGGACCTGACAGGTGAAATGGGTAGGTTTTTGGAGATAAGTGCGGTGTGCAGACAATCTTAAATCTCTAATAAAGTGCATTTGGGACATGATGCTAAGAGATTCCTATTCTGGGAAGGCACACTGGAACAGCCACGTCTTCAAGCTCTTCCTAAAGACTGCCAACATTGGGGGTTGTCTGATGTCCTTGGGGAGGGAGTTCCAGAGTCGGGGGGCCACCACAGAGAAGGCCCTGTCCCTCGTCCCCACCAAACGCGCCTGCGATGCAGGCGGGATCGTGAGCAGGGCCTCTCCAGATGATTGGAGTGATCGTATAGATTCGTATACGGAGATGCAGTCATGCAGACAGGCAGGTCCCAAACCGTTTAGGGCTTTGTAGGTAAGTACCTGCACCTTGAATTGGGACTGGAAAATGAACGGCAGCTAATGGAGCTCCTTAAACAGGAGGATTGACCTCTCTCTGTAAGGAGCACCAGTTAACAACCTGGCCGCCGCCTGTTGGACCAGCTGAAATTTCCAGGCCGTTTTCAAGGGCAGCCCCATGTAGAGCGCATTACAGTTGTCCAATCTGTTGATATATATAACAATAAAGAAATAATATTGTACAAGTAGGTAAAAGATATGCAGTGCAGGTATATGTAATATAAGCTGTAATTGGGGAAAGTTAAAAACGGATAAGAAGTACACTTAAGGTGTTTGATTTTTCTTCTTTTTTATTCGTGTAAAATATGGTATGCTCCTCTGTCCAAAATGCTGTAAAAAGGGGAAAGGGGGTATACTTATACATTTTGATGGATAAATATATAAATAGAAGACTTGTGCGCCAGCTGCGATCGTACCTCGCAAAGGTTGATCTGGCCGGGGTGTTCCATGCCTTGGTCACCTCTAGATTGGATTACTGTAATGCGCTCTACGTGGGGCTGCCCTTGAAAACAGCTCGGAAATTCCAGCTGGTCCAACGACCGGCGGCCAGGATGTTAACTGGCACTCCTTACAGAGAGAGGTCAACCCGTCTGTTTAAGGAGCTCCATTGGTTGCCGTTTACCTACCGAACCCAATTCAAGCTGCAGGTGCTTATCTACAAAGCCCTAAATGGTTTGGGACCTGCCTACCTGCGTGACCGTATCTCCGTTTACGAACCCACGCACTCCCTTCGTTCTTCCGGAGAGGCCCTGCTCGCGATCCCACCTGCGTTGCAGGCGCGTTTGGTGGGGACGAGGGACAGGGCCTTCTCTGTGGTTGCCCCCGGACTCTGGAACATCCTCCCCAAAGACATTAGACTAGCACCCACGTTGGCAGTCTTTAGGAAGAACTTGAAGACCTGGCTGTTCCGATGTGCCTTTCCGGAATAGGATAATCCCCAGCTCTATGGACCTTCTTGCGGCAACCCCAGAGGCACTCCAAGTGGCCAGATACTGGTCAAAGGACATTTAACCAAATACCAAATTTGCAAAGTCTGTGTGTTTTTTTTCCTTTTTCTTTTTAATCTCTGTGTTTGCTTTGCTCTGTTAGAATTGTAATACAATGGTTGCTGATGACACGATAAATATAAGCTCTATGTCCCAGAAGCACTTCATTAGAGTTTAAGACTCTCTGCGCATTGCAGTTGCCCAGAAATCCAACATACCACCAGCCACACCCAGCACTTTTTAACCTGTACCCATCACTGGCCTGGCCCTGGTTTTATTGTGTAATGGTATAATGTTTGTTATTGCTTATGTTTTTAATTTTTTAATTTGCTTTGAATTGTATTGTTACTGTTTGTTGTTGTTGTGTTGAGGCCTTGGCCTTTGTAAGCCGCATCGAGTCCCTTGGGAGAGTTATTTATTATTATTTATTTACTTTACGTATTTACGTAGGCGACTCAGTGCGGTTTACAGCCAGGACAATATACAAGGTGCACAACATTAGCATTTAAAACAGTAACTAAAGCAACTACATCGATATAACAATATAACAGTACATCAATATAACATCTATAATCTATATAACTAATCCATCACGTCTCATCAGTAAAGTCATAATCCGATCTCCTCGTCCATTATTCCAAGTTCGAAAATCAATCAGTTGGTTGCACTGCTTAATTAAATGCCTGTTCAAAGAGCCAGGTCTTTACTCTTCTCCTGAACGCCAGCAGGGAGGGGGCCGATCTAATGTCTGCGGGAAGGGCGTTCCACAGCCGAGGGGCCACCACTGAGAAGGCCCTGTCTCTCGTCCCCACCAGCCGTGCTTGTGAGGCTGGCGGGATCGAGAGCAGGGCCTCCCCGGACGATCTTAATGTCCTAATTGGTTCATAGGGGGTGATGCGTTCGGACAGATAGGTCGGGCCAGAACCGTTTAGGGCTTTAAAGGCTAAAGCCAGCACTTTGAATTGTGCCCGGTAGCAAATTGGCAGCCAGTGGAGCTGGCGCAGCAGAGGAGTGGTGTGCTCCCTGAGTGCCGCTCCTGTTAGCAACCTGGCTGCCGATCGTTGGACCATTTGAAGCTTCCGAGCAGTCTTCAGAGGCAACCCCACGTAGAGAGCGTTGCAGTAGTCTATACGGGATGTAACCAGCGCGTGGACCACTATGGCCAAGTCAGACTTCCCAAGATACGGGCGCAGCTGGCGCACAAGTTTTAATTGTGCGAATGCTCACCTGGTCACCGGGGAGATGCTAGCAAGGTTAAAATAAAGTTTAATAATAATAATAATAAAAGCTTGTAAAAAAAATCAATGCAGGGAATTTTGGGCGTTGTCGTTTGACAAGGTCTTTGGCCTCCTCTGTCAAAGAGTTGTGGTGCCTCAACTCCTAGGAGTCCATAACATGTGCTGCCAAAGCGCCTTCATTCTAGGCTAGAGAATACCTGCAGATCTGATCAGACTTAGAATGCAATGGGCGCTTGAGAGCCCTGTAGGCAGCAGAGGGCTCCTGAGGTCTTGGCCAGTCTGAAGGGCCTTCGCTCTCAACCCCTCCCCCTCCGAAGCGGCAAAAAAAGGGCAGCCCAAGCCTCACCGAACCCCTTGATGAGCTCCGTGAAGACGCCCGGGTCGCTCTCCATGAGGCACCACTCGCCGGCGCTGCCTCCTCCCGCCATGGCGGCTCTGAAGCGGAGGCAGCAGCAGCGGCAAAGGCGTCCGGCCTCGGCCTCCCTCAGGAGAGAAGAGGCGAGGCTCCGTCAACCCCGCTTCTCGCGCCGCGAATCCTCCCTCCGCGCGCACGCCGCTCTCTTCCCGACAGGCTCCGCGGCAGGCGGACTGGCTCTGAGAGCTGCTCTGAGAGGTGATCGAAAGGGGACCGGAAGCTGGTCACAGAGAGGCGAGGCTAGAGAGGCCCCGGCTTCTTGTTGGCAATGCAACAAGGCGCGGAGGAGGCGGCCATATTGGGGGGCGCTCTGTCCTTCGCCTCTCTATTATTTATTTATTTACCTTACTTATATACCGCTGTTCTCAGCCCGAAGGCGACTCACAGCGGTTCACAACAAATACGAACAGCAAAAATTCAGTGCTACAGTATAGAAACAGTTAACAACCTAACACATTACACAATTAATAAACAGTTACTACAATACCCATTCACTGTCGTCTCGTCATCAAAAA